TTAAGAATGAATGAGAATGAGACCGAAGAATGAGAATTCGATATTTTCAGAAGAATACCAAATTCTGATAATAAAGAATGAGAATGAATATGTTTGTTTTATTCTTGTTTGTGTATGATTGTTATTTAAACCATGTTCATCATTCATTCATCATTATGAATGATGAATGAATGATGAATGATGAATGAATGATGAATGATGAATGAATGATGAATGATGAATGATGAATGAATGATGCATGAATGATGAATGATGAATGATGAATGATGAATGATGAATGATGAATGATGAATGAATGATGAATGAATGATGAATGAATGATGAATGAATGAAAGCATGCCGTGTATATTTTTTTGGTTCTGTTTATCCTTTAATACCATACATCTATCGATACTGTATAGTTACTAATTCCGATCCAATAACATTGGAGTCTGTAGTCCGTCCTGTTGTAACTGGCTATTAAGAAACGTTTTATATTCCTTTTGTAGATTGTTGTTTGTTACTTTCAGTCTATTCTGTTTATGTTAGTATACTATCCAAATATATATATTTTCTCATTATTCCAAGTCTTTTTCATTCTCATTCATACTTCATTCTGATTCATTCTACATTCTCATTCATTCTTTATTCTCATTCATTCTTCATTCTCAATCATTCTTCATTCTCAATCATTCTTCATTCTCAATCATTCTTCATACATCGGTCATTCTTCATTCTCATTCATATTTCATTCTCATTCATTCTTCATTCTCAGTCAATCTTCATTCTCATCCATTCTTCATTCTCATTCATTCTTCATTCTCATGAATGAATCATTCATCATTCATCTTTCATCATTCATCACTCATCATTCATCATTCATCATTCATCATTCATCATTCATTCATCATTCATCATTCATTCATCATTCATTCATCATTCATTCATCATTCATTCATCATTCATTCATCATTCATTCATCATTCATTCATCATTCATTCATCATTCATTCATCATTCATTCATTCATTCATCATTCATCATTCATTCATTCATCATTCATTCATCTTTCTTCATTCTCATAATGATGAGACGACGACAATACGATTCGCATTCGTATATTTTCGTCTTTTTAAAATTGCCGCCTGTGTTGCTGTCGTGCCAGGACGAGAAGACGATCCCGACACATAACTTGGTGCCAATGTATTAATTTTATTACAGCTAATTAAAGAAATTAATAATTTAGATAGTCAGAAATACGATTCATCATTCATCATTCATTCATCGTGTATATTTTTTTCATTCTGTTTATCCTTTAATACCATACATCTATCGATACTGTATAGTTACTAATTCCGATCCAATAACATTGGAGTCTGTAGTCCGTTCTGTTGTAACTGGCTTCATTAAGAAACGTTTTATATTCCTTTTGTAGATTGTTGTTTGTTACTTTCAGTCTATTCTGTTTATGTTAGTATACTATCCAAATATATATATTTTCTCATTATTCCAAGTCTTTTTCATTCTCATTCATACTTCATTCTGATTCATTCTACATTCTCATTCATTCTTCATTCATTCTTCTTCATTCTCAATCATTCTTCATTCTCAATCATTCTTCATTCTCAATCATTCTTCATTCTCAATCATTCTTCATACATCATCATTCATCATTCATCATTCATTCATCATTCATCATTCATTCATCATTCATCATTCATTCATCATTCATTCATTCATTCATCATTCATTCATCGTTCATTCATCATTCATTCATCATTCTTCATTCATCATTCATCATTCATTCATCATTCATCATTCATTCATCATTCATTCATCATTCATTCATCATTCATTCATCATTCATTCATCATTCATTCATCATTCATTCATCATTCATTCATCATTCATTCATCATTCATTCATCATCATTCATCATTCATTCATCATTAATTCATCATTCATTCAACATTCATTCATCATTCATTCATCATTCATTCATCATTCATTCATCATTCATTCATCATTCATTCATCATTCATTCATCATTCATTCATCATTCATTCATTCATTCATCATTCATCATTCATGCATCATTCATTCATCATTCATCATTCATTCATCATTCATTCATCATTCATCATTCATCATTCATTCATCATTCATCATTCATTCATCATTCATCATTCATCATTCATTCATCATTATGAATGATGAATGAATGATGAACATGGTTTAAATAACAATCATACACAAACAAGAATAAAACAAACATATTCATTCTCATTCTTTATTATCAGAATTTGGTATTCTTCTGAAAATATCGAATTCTCATTCTCATTCATTCTTAATTCTCAATATCGAATTCTCATTCTCATTCTCCATTCACATTCTCTGTCTTCATTCTCATTCCTCATTCTCCATTTTTCCACATCTCCACGACAAATGGTAAAAACCAATACGACCGTCCACATTCGTATATTTTCGTCTTTTTAAAATTGCCGCCTGTGTTGCTGTCGTGCCAGGACGAGAAGACGATCCCGACACATAACTTGGTGCCAATGTATTAATTTTATTACAGGAAGGAAAGTGAATGATGAATGAATGATGAATAATGAATGAATGATGAATGAATGAAGAAGGAGCATGAAGAATGAGAATGAGAATGAGAAATTCTGTTTCAAAAGAGAATGTGTATGAGAATTGTATATTGATATTAAAGAATGAGAATGAAGTATGAATGCGAATGAAGAATGAATGAAGAATGAATGATGAATGTAGAATGAATGATGAATGATTTATGTATGAATGGGAATGAAGAATTAAAGATGTATGTAGAATGATTTATGAATGAATGAGAATGAAGAATTAATGATGTATGAATGATAAAGAGATAGAAGAATGAAGAATGGAGAATGAGGAACGAGTGTGAAGAATGGATGAGAATGAAGACTGAATAAGAATGATGAATGATGAATGATGAATGAATGATTATTGGATGCTGAATGATGAATGAGAATGAAGAATGAATTATGTATGAACGAGAAAGAGAAAGAAGAATGTAGAATGGAGAATGAGGAACGAGTGTGAAGAATGGATGAGAATGAAGACTGAATAAGAATGATGAAAGAAGAATGAAGAATGAATGAGAATGAGAATGAATAATAATACTCAATCTCATTCTCATTTTTCATTCTCATTCTTCATTCCCATTGATTCTTCATTCACAATCTCAATCACATTCTTTGTTCTACATTCTCATTGTTATTCTTCACTTCTTCTTGAATATGATTGTTTTATTCTTGTTTGTGTATGATCGTTATTTAAACCATGTTGGCAATAAAGGTTATTATACTGGTTTACATTCTTCATAAGAATGAGCATGAGACTGAAGAATGAGAACTGGATATTTTCAGAAGAATAAAGAATGAAAACTGAATATTGATATTGAAGAATAACAATGAGAATGAAAATTGAGAATGAAGAATGAGAACTCGATATTTTCAGAAGAATAAAGAATGAAGAATGAATATTGATATTGAAGAATAACAATGAGAATGAAGAATGAAAATAGACCCGAGAGCTGGTAGCTACTTTGCCCAAAGGCTAAGTATGGCCATTCAAAGAGGCAACGCTGCCAGTGTCATGGATACGCTGCCTCGATGTGCCATGCCGCGTTGAATTACAATGTTTGTTTGAATTAATTATTAAATAATATATTCAAGTAGTTGAATAATATATATATATATATTTGAAGACAAAAAAAAAGATTGAAATCTAAAAGTATAGCAAAACTAGTTTTTGGTAATTAATTTAGCACAGACAATTTAATCTTAACAAGCATATAACAAATAGAAAAAAAAAACAATAGAATAAGAAGTAGGAAAATCTATTATTAAGTCTATGATTAAAATATCTACGCTTTGCTAAATATAGCTACGTAATATATAGAACTAGCTGCACCCGCGACTTCGTCCGCGTGAAATACAATTTAATTTAAAAAATGATCCTATATTACAAATTTTGTTATTTAGTCAAATTTTCTGAATTTCTACATTAATGGCAATAACTCACTATTTATGATAGATACAGTTATGATATTACCATTGTAAAATCTACTTGAAAGAGACATTATTTCAAAATTATTGGTCTCCCATATATTCATATATTTTTTTATACCCACGAGGTTTGAACTTTGCTTAAAAATTTTTTTTGCATAATTATCAAAAATAAATTAGTTTGGGTATTAATAAATAAAAATTTAAACAGCTTATTATACTTTCTAATTATCAGCACAGTTAGTGTATAATAAGAAAACAACAAAAAACCAATAGAATTAATTAATTTCTGGTCATAGTGATCAGGACAGTACAATAAGACAGAAAAAAATGACTTTTCTTTAAAATAAAGATAACTTATGATATATTTTGTTTCGTATATTTTTTAGGACGGCCATAAGTTGAACTATAATGCTACGTTTACATTCAGGCGCTTCCCCTGCCACTCGCGCTGTCGGAAATATTGCCGGGCGACAACTGAGCGAGAGGGCTGAATGTAAAAAGACGCGGCCACTCGCGCTGCTAGTCTTTTGACTCGCACACGAAAAACCGACAATCGAGCAGCGCCGGGCAGCGCGAGTGGCAGCGCCAATGGCATGGGAAGTGTTTCCACTACCACACCACGTTTCAAGTGTACCACAAGACGTTTCAAGGTTATCTATTAATTACCGGACACGCGTATATATATCTCTATAAACTAAACAATAATTTTATAATACATCTTGGAAGTTGCATACAGCGCTGTCTAGTTCCAAGTCAAGCAGAGTTTGTATTATGGGTACTAGACAACTGATATAAATACTTAGATTTCTTTGTAAATACTTAAAAAACACCCAGACTGATACAAACAATCGTACTCGTGAATACGGATGTCTGTACCGCGCGAGGAATCGAATCTGCGCCCATCGGAATTAAAGCGGTGTGCTAAACCGCTAAACCACTGAGGTCGTCAATAAATATACAATTATAAAAACAACCTGTGGTGCACTATCTCGAGGAGAAGGATGGTAAGTGAGAGTGTAGCGCCGTACACCATGAGGAGCAGCACCGGCTTCAGGTCCATCAGGCCCACGCTGCTGAACGCCGCCATCTTGCCGGAACAGTGGGGCTTAGGTATGAACATGCGTTTATGTAGCACGGTTCTTATACCAGACTCGGCTAGCTGTTTGAATCTGTATAATAAAAAGTAATTTTTGTGGTATATTGTAAACTAGCTTTGCCCGCGACTACGTCCACCTTGGATAGTATAAAATATTTAATAATCCAAACCTAAAAATAGAGTTTTATGGTTGTAGCTTCAAAAATGACGAATTGCCATACAGACTTTTCCCCTATTTTATTATGTATTATCCCCTTATGGCTAAAATTTTCACACACTTTGAATGGGATAGGTGTTTATTTATATTTATCAATAGCCTAAAAAATAAGTCAAACTCCTAACTTTAGTATTGGCGATACATGGTATTTAGTATTGCCACTATCTGTGTACCAAATTTCATTTAAATCAGTTCAGTGATTTTGGCGTGAAAGTTTGTCTGTCTGTCTAGCGGAACAGATATGAGTTACTTTCGCATTTATAATATTAGAAAGGATTGGTAATGGACATCTACCAACATTGCATTTTCTAGGACAGTAGAAAAAGAAGGAATTGTTAGTAGATATTTAATCTTTACATAATATAAAATGGAATCGCTATCGATGTCTGTTTGCAACGGATTTTAATACAGTTTTCAGAAATAGAGTGGTCCACACCCGTGCGATGCCGGGGCGGGTACATAGTGATATACAAACTGTTCATTTCATCCAAAATATAGATTACTGTGTAATTTGTGTTTCATTACAATTTAAAATATAAAAAGTTTAAATAATATCCCGAGATAGAAAAAGATAACAATCACAATATAAATTGTTAGGAATATAAAACAAAATAAAAATCCGTTCGTAAAATTGGGTTGTAGGTACTAAAACTATACGGAACTTACGCGACTTTCATCAGCTCCAAGTATGGGGAGTCCTTCTTCACGGGCGCTAAAGGGTTGAATCCGTTGAGGTAGTCTATCTCCACCAGGTCACATTTCTCCCCCTCGAGGAATGTCTGCTCAATACGACGGTATACCGGCTCCGTGATCGAGTGAAACGCGAACAACCCCTGGATAGGGTTAAACATTGATAAATATTAAAAAGGGATAATACAGCACTGTCTACTAATATCAGTTTGACTTTATTAGCTATGCCCTAAGTTTCACCCTCGTGAATTTTACAGCCTATATGTTTTTCTGATGCATAAGCTATGTTACTGTAAAATTTCATCAAAATCGGTTCTGTAGTTTTTGCGTGAAACACTAACAACATCCATACTTACAAACTTTCGCATTTATAATATTAATAATAAAATACCTATCTGTATCTGTATACAGTTGTCCGGAATTATTTATAAACTAGCTGTTATCCACAGCTTCGTCCGTGTGGAATTCAAATTTTTTTTTTACAATAATAAAAGTAACCTACGTTCCTTATAACATTAGCTATCTAAAAGTGAAGTCCCGAAATAATGTGTCCAACCATTTCAGAGATTAGCAAAATCAAACAGACAAATAAAATATTAATTTATTTATTGATATAATTAGGTTATAATTTGAAAGATATAAAAAAATTAAACCTGTCTGATTTTTTCCACCCCTTCATTCATTTCGTATAGCAGTCCATTCGGTTTATCTGGTTTAATTTTTTTATAAACAGCCATATGCAGCGAGTCATTGTAGACCTGAAAAATTAAGTACAGATATTTTATATAAAATTATTAGTGTCGTTTTTAAGACATTTGAGTTTATTTTAGTCGGCAACATTTTTCCCCTCTATTCTCAATATCTGTCTCTTTTCATTAACCCTTTGCAGTACTTCTTCATTTCTTATTTTATCTTTCCATCCTTTTCCAACACCTTATTTCCAAAGCTTCCAGTTTGTGTCTTTCTTTTTGAGTTCGATACCATAGTTGAGTCGCAAAAATAAATTAGTTATATCCCTTCTTGTCAATTCTAATTTAATTACTAACTCCGTAATTAACTTATCTGTGGTAATCCTCACTTTAAAAACGAACTGGCTGTAGTCCACGTCATAACCAGCTAGGGCGACCTTCGATGACACCAGCTGTGCTAGACTCTTGATGGAGTTAGAGGGCGCCTGCAGCAGGACGACGATGTTGGCGGAGTACGCGGCGTATAGCGCCATCAGAACAGTGAAGAATATCCACACTATGATGCGGCCTGTGTTGATTAATTGTAGGTAATAATAATAACAATAACAATCTTAGGACAATTCACACAGCGCCATCTAGACCCAAGTTAAGCTAGCTAAAGCTTGTGTTATGGGTACTAGATAACTGATACATATACATATATATATTTTTGTAAATACATACATATTATACATAGAAAACACCAAGACCGATGCAAACAATCATACTCATGTTTGTGCCGTGCGAAGAATCGAATCCGCGACCATCGGTCGTAAAGCGGTGTGCTAGACCACTAGACCACCGGGGTCGTCAAAGTAAGGTCGAGGTAAGGATTTTTTATATATTAACTGTCTTTATCCGTACGCTCTTTACGAAAATCCTTTACCCCTGCCTCGACTTAAATCCAAAAGGTTTTTGAGCTATGTGTAATTTTAAAAAGAAGTTATTTAAAAAATCTATTTAATGTGATTTCTTTATTTTAGTTTCCTTATCCTATGACAACATATCAGGTAGTTTCAACTATTATTATTGGTTGTAGAACTTTTCATAGTAGCAGTTTTTGTTTCGAGTCGGGATTGTAATCCTCTACCACAGCCTCTACTCAACTAACGCTCTCCACACTTACACATATTTATTTTAATTGTATATTACCTGAAAGCCTTTTGGGTTCAATCACACAGCCCTGTTGGCTTATAGCGCTCATGGTCAGCAAGAACGCGTCCCCTATAGTTCCATCTGGTTGTGATAAATTCTGGAAGAATGTAGATTATAAATTCCCATAGTTATTCTAGGTACCACTGTTTGATTTGGTTAGAGCAACAGAAACCGCACTTGTTAATGTTTTTAAAGTTATTCTATTAATAGTAATAGGAACCAGTGGTCCCATAGCAAATGAACTATGTATGGTGACCTCCACTCTAATGACTCACACTTAGAAATCACTACATTTCTCTAGTAATTTCGGCATAATAGTCTGACTGACGTGACTTCATTATCACATTATCATTATTCACTGGTATCTTGCCAGTCTGATGAATACAACCTGTTCTAACAGCGGGTGCACCATTTCATCATCACCAAAATAACCTAAGTAAATTATTCCAATTCATTCACAGTCCAAGCCAATCTGGAAGAAAAAGTTATGTACATAGAGTACATAAGTTTTTCTTCCAGATTGGCTGTAACAAATTGCTTACAGTGATAAGCTTTTCGTTATTACAATTCTACTTAATGTTTAATAATAGTAATAATAATAATAATAATAATCTTTATTTGTCTCAAACAAAAACTTTTCACACAATACAACTATTGTCCATACAATAATATAATTTAAAACTAATAAAGGAGACAAAACGGTCTACAATTCAGTGAAGGCAGTGAGTCCACCCTCTCTGCTATTCTGTAATAGTCTTTATCAGTAGAATATAATGTGAGATCGGCGACGACGATAGCATATTAAGTTTTAAACTACAACTAAATTGTTTGTTTCTGCAGCAACCATTTGCTACATTTTTATTTACATTTGCTTTAAATCTCCTGTGTGCACAATAAAGAGTTTATTATTATTAACTTGACTTCATACCTTTCTATTCTTGGCCTCCCATTTACTGGCGATATACAGAGCAAACATGGAAAGTATTGCACACAATGCAATAGCTATCCACACAGTGCCAGAGAACGGCAGGGAGAATATATTAGACACATAAGACAGAGGAGGCTGTCGCAACACAAAGGCGACCCGATAGTTGGCCAGCGTGTCTGTATATGCGATTACCTCGAGTCGTTCAATCATTGTTCCCAGACAGTTCGTACCTTAAAATAAAGATTTCTTTATAACATTATCAGTGTTGAAGCCTTTACTTTTCTGCGGAAAATCCTCATGGAAAACCGCCTGCCCCAGTGGACGTAGACAAGTACTGCCGAACTCTGAACGGTTAGCCGTTCAGAGTTCGGCAGTACTTAACCCCAGGGAGATTTCTACTGGCTTTTTGGTGCGAGGGTCGCGAGGTCGTATTAGCATATATGATCAAAAGATATTTCATATGTACTCGTAACTTGGTACCTGAAGTTATGGTCTCTACTCGGTAATTTCACAAGTTGCTCCTTAAAATTCAGCCCAGAATTTAAAAAAAGAAATAACGTCTTTATTATTAGCAAATAGTAAAGTCGAAACGTTATGTTTTTGCCTTTACTTCAAACCAAAGGTTAGGAGCAGGCAGAGTGCCATTTGTCTTTACGTCTCGTCTCTTGCAGGTCTATGCACTAGTTATATACTCTCCAAAATGTTGATTATCAAGTGTTGTAATATGATTCTTACAACACGAGTTATTGAACATATCACCTATACTGTTGCTATTTCAGGGGACTGTTATAACGTATATATCTGGAAAACAACGTGCAAGCAAGATGCTGATAAGCTTGCTGGAGTATTCGGGAGATATGAACTTACCTACATCAGCTCTGCCGGTGTTCAAATCATTTATCATGCCTGACCATTGCCCATTTTGTTTGTACCCCCATCTGTGACTGAATATGTACCGTGGGGTAGCGTTTAACATTTGGAAAGCTAAGCGCGCGTTCATCCAGGAAGTTTTTGCAATGACATCGTGTTGCAGATCCCTAAACCAATTTCATTCTTTAATTTTCTCCAACCTCTATTTTATAATAGTGTTTTAAATTTTTATGGCAAAACAATGTTTGTTTTGTCAGGTAGTAATATATATATATATATCTATCTAAGATATATAAAATGAACACTCACAGTCTATCTTCTCTTGGCAAATGGTACTGTGTCACATTGCTGTCTTGTATCACGTTAGACATGGTCAGAGGGGCTCCCATAAGGTCCTTTCGTCTCCGATAAATCTCCCGATGTGGTCGAGTGTCCACTAAAGTCCCATTGTAGTACCCTCGTGATGTTAAAATCATTGACAAGTTCTTTGATGGTTTATGTACTGTTAATGTTAATTAATGTGAATTAAGTACCAAATTTTTTAATGATCAGATCCGAATATATGGGGGACAAAAGTAGGCTCAAGCGAAGTTATAATTTTCATATTATAATAATTGAATGTTTATTTAATGAGTAATTGTTAGGTTTTAATTCTGTTATTTTTAATTTTTTTTAGTTTAATTAGTTTGTTAGTAGAGAACAACTTTGAACTTGAATGTTATCTTCGTTGATTTTTTATCACAATAATTTACCGACACAACAGAATAGTAGAATAGAGAGGGTGGACTCACTGCCCCGTTTGAGTTGTACACCGGTTTCTCTCGATTAATATCTCTTAATTTTATTATAAGTAGCAATTATAATAGTTCATTATTTGGTACAAATAATGATGTTGATTATTATTATTATATTTATCATGCATATTTGAGGGCCTCGGTGGTCTAGCGGTTTAACACACCGCTTTACTTCCGATTCGCGCGGGTTTTTTTCCTCGCAAAGCACAAACATTTGCATTTTTACTTCCTAGAATAAAAATAAACAAAAGTAACTTTACTTTCAGTCAGTTTAAAACCAGTTTCCGATTTTTCCGCCAAAATCACATCACTATCGGTTAAAACTGGACTTTTCCACAGTACCGACGATTTTAGCCGTTTAGGATCTGTGGACAGCATAAGCCAACGGTAGGGAGCACCAAAGATATTTCTTGAAGTAGCCTAGTGAAAATATATAATTAAAATAAGTTGTAGATACTTAACTTAAAAGAATTAAATACTGGAATACGGTATTTGTCAGTAAAACATTACTAAACGAGTAATTATTGGCTTATTTTAAAAATATATAATTCAAATAAGTTGTAGATATTACTTTACTCGAAAGAAAAAAATACCGAAATACGGTATTCATCAGTAAGCAAAATAAGTGAATAATGGCTCCTTTAGTACATTTAAAGAAGCAATTATTTACTTATATTGTGTATATCTAATTAAGTAAAAATTTTTAGATACTGTTTTGTTTTCTAAGTTCACGTACCCAAAAGAATCTTGAACACTTACGTTTTTGATGACATCATTTGAATTCGGACAATCTATGTCAAGAAGAAACAGAATTCCATGTTTCTGGTATCTATTTAGTTGATATGTAGAAGATGAAACGCTGCACGCATCTTTTGATACTTCTTTTACTAGTTGCAGTTCATTATCTGTAAGATAATTTTCCCGCTAGAATGATATTGAAGTCATAGTAGATATAAAATAATAACCTATCTTTTTTCATCTGTGTAATCGGATAATTAATGTCTGTCTTAGTAATACAAAATACAAAATAAGTTAGACGTATGTATATACTAGCAACGTATATATAAATCCATTATTTTGTTTTTAATAAAAAACTAAGTAAAATTGTTATAGATGTATTTAGTCTAAACATTATTAAATTTAAAAAAATGTTAATCATTAAAAATATACTGAATCGATATTGAAGAATCCAGAGTAGACCTACCTGCCCGTATCACAGAATAAAATATTTTTTGCATAAACTGTGCAAGCGCTTTATAGAATTGTATTTAACAGAAAATTATAATTTTTACTCTATTTAGTTTACGGCTAGATGGCACTGTATGAATTGTTCTGGCTTTAAAAAACACAATATAGCACAGATAACATTCCATCGTCCGGTTTCGATCGTATTCATTTTGTCAGTGCAATTTTTAACAACTGACTATGATTATTGACTTCATGCATGATCCAGAGTCATATCAACTTAGTTCTGCAGAACACATAATAATTCTTTGCGTGTTAGACGAAAGTCGACCACCACGTTCATCATTTTGATCATCAGCTTGTTCGGCATTTCAGTTAATTATAAAAATATATATATACTTACATTTTGGCCAGCAGAGATCGTTTAAGATTAAATGGGTAGGTTTCTGTTCATTATCGATGAAGCTTCTAATGAAACTAACTGTATTAGCGTCGTTTCCGTATACTAGCACCTCAGTTGTGATCAGAATAAATATTTTTAATTCTGCATACATTATTACAACATACAACTGAACAAATTTTTTTACATATTAATTGTAAAGATAAGTATAATAATGTACCTATATAGTATTTATATCAGTTGTCTAGTGCCCATAATACAAGCTTGAGACAAATTGACGATGTGTGAATTGTCCTGAAAAAAAAATGAATGTAACGTAAACTATATGAACAGTTTTATTGTATCCGTAAATAATAAGAACAATGCACACAAACTGAAGTCTTAATCTGAATTATAGGGATTTCTTTTTCTAAATGAGTATATTTTTGCAACTCTCTTTGCTTCCGTGTTTGCGCTTTCGGGTTACGCTTTAGCTGATAATGTTTGAAGTTTTGTAAAGAACTATAGGGGTTAGGGACATGAAACGAGACTAGAGGTTGTTCTAGAGGAACAACTAAACATATAAAGTAAAATTAATTCAATAGACAAAGTAGATGTGAAGTAGTAACAATAGACAAATTTTATATGCTTAAACGTTTAATTTATACCCTTCCATCATGAATAATCCAAGAAAACTTATAACAATAATATTTGGGTTGGTTCTTTCATTGACAACGAAATTTAATTTCGTATTTAACTTGGGTACTGCTAGCTTTAGTCTGTATTATTCGTATAAAATCTGTAATTTGTAATATTTGAAAAAAGTGTCAAGTGAGTGAGTTTACCCCAATCTCAAACAGTATATTTAATTCATATATATTTTTTAACAATATTTAGTTATTGAAATGTTACTATTAATATGAACATAGTTTTAATAACCTGAATTTAAATTAATTTTTACTATTCAGTAACGCTTTTTTATATCAGTTTATTTCAATAAGATTTTTTTTCTGTTCTAATATGAGCTTTTTCTAATTTATCTGATGTTGGTTTTTCTGTTCTATATTTATAGTTATGTATAAGACTTATTTTAGTATTTATTGGACTTTTCACCTGATTTAAATTTGCCTAAAATATTATAAATACTATTGAGTTACGTATATCTTGTATATCCAGCTAAGAAGAAAGAATTACCCATATCCCGTAACTTACTAAATTAACTCCAATGCGTTGTTTCCGTGGCCACTGTTCCCACATAAGTTTGGAATATTGTTTATGTAAACCATGACAAATTGAGGACATAAACCAATGCTAATAAAACTTTCATCATTTCATATTCCGGAACCAAATTGCATATAATTAATGGCTACACTCTACTGACTGTAATTATCTGTAATTATTTGTCACAGTGTTATTAAGTGTAATTTTGAAAGCCTTAACAATGTTTGTTGACTGACATTGAAAAGCGACTGTACCTTTGCATCATAAATATTTGACGATATTTTTAATAAAATATCAGTAGATGGTGAACATATTTTAACATATATCAAATATTACAAAGAAAGAGATGCAGAAGACTGCATAAAGCCACATACGCTTTGAGTGCGAGGTGAGTCGCTGTAATAGACACACCGCGTCATCTTGTCGAAGATATTCATACGAAGTCGAAACATTTGTCGCGAAAGACGAAAATATTGAGAGAGAAGGTTTACCATCCTATGGATTCATAGTGCGGGTGTCGGGTCCATCGTGTGGCAGACAAAACTCCAAGAAGTTTTCCGGGACTTGTGACCCGGGTGTAGGTTTAAGGCTCTTTGCCGACGTACGTGAACACTCTCCTTCACCTCCTATGGATTCATAGTGCGGGTGTCGGGTCCATCTTTGCCGACGGATTCATAGTGCGGGTGTCGGGTCCATCGTGTGGCAGACAAAACTCTCCTTCGACGAAGAAGACGTACGTCACCTCTCCTGCTCTTCCTGCTCAGCCAAATCTAGTAGGAGCCAGCTAACGCAGCTTTAGATACACGTTCTAATATAAAATCTACTGCAGTTCTAAACAGGTCAAGAGAAGATTGTAGAGAGATTTCGCTGGTATACCTCTCGCTCTCACTTCGACTGCATGTGATTTAACCACATACTTTTTTATCATTATTTCGTTTATAGTTCTTATATATATTTGTTATTATTGCATGGTCTTTTCTTTAGGTATATTTGTTTGCTGTAAATTGAGCTCTACTAGTATTTAATTATTAGTTTCTTCGAATATAGGTATACATCCGCTAACGGAGTATTCAATGTTTCGCGTTTTTTGAAAAGAACTATTGAGAACTATTTCAGTTGTAGATTGACACCAAGTTATATTATATTCAGTCGTAGATACGGCTTTCATCTAAATTTTTAAATAGGCAATAATTTAAAAATTATAAAAATAAAACACAAATTGCCAGATACTACATATTTCTTTAATAGAGACCTATAGTCCATTATCTTCTATATTTAATAATTATATTTTTTCTAATAATGCAATAATTTTGTTTAATATTTCTAATAGTTAAATAATTAAATTTAAACATATAATTAAAATTTTGGACTGCATAAATAATGTGACATACAATATTGTGAACACAATAATGCTGGATGCACATTTCCGGTAAGAGTCGTACAAATCGTGCCGACGATGGATCGATTGCCTGATTGGTTGCTACACCCCGATCAGTTTGTATTCCGCCAATCACGCGCTTGCGACGTCATCATCGGCACTGTTCGTCCGGACTATACTAATTTTAGCTATAATAATTTTAGCTTAGTCTCTGTATCTCTATCTATATAGTCTAGGTATTGAATTTTATACAAATTCTAGTAAATAAACATGTTAATTCCGCAATTATACATTTAAATAAACATATTTTTATATTATTATCTTATTTATAATGTTACTTTTGCTGGTAATCATTGATCATATTTGGATGCATTTTATTTTTGTTTATCATTTTTGTCTTAATGTACCTGTGAAAAAAAAACAGCAAATGAAATGTTGGATGTTTTATAAATTGACAAATGTGTACAATACTTAATGGGTTTGTATTATATTCTTTAATTCCCGTACCATTAGATAAAATAATCTAAAAACATTATAGGACGTCCATATAATAAGCACCTGATTCGATAAAATGAATGATTTCATAATATTATATAAAAAAAATAAGCCTGATTCGATAAAATGAATGATTTCATAATATTTACAACGGCGACCCTGCTCAGTTCAATTTAATTACTCTACATTATCAATGGGGCACTTCCCCATATATTACATTATTCCCCAATTATTATATTACTAAAACACCCATCCCCCCACTTCTAACTTTGATACTTGCAATTTATGGTGTGCTATCTCGAGGAAAAGGATGGTAAGGGAGAGCGCGGCGCCGTACACCATGAGGAGCAGCACCGGCTTTAGGTCCATCAGGCCCACGCTGCTGAACGCTGCCATCTTGCCGGAACACTGGGGCTTAGGTACCAGCATACGTTTAATTATCGCTGATCGTATACCAGACTCTGCCAATTGTTTGAACCTGTTGGAACAGGAATCTTATTCTTACCACATTTTATTTCGGACTACTTTGATGCTGTTGGCTGCAGCTGACTTTTACATTTTCATCGGACGATAGGAGGCGAGTGCAGATGGCAGTCCAAACCCGCGGAAGGACTTATGGAGCGGCTGTAGGCCAACTCCCGCTTGATGGATACGATTTTAGTATGAGGTCACCGTTAGGGGTTCGAACCTCGGTTCAGGCCGTCGTAATTTCGATTACCGTTGGAATTGGTCGGGGGATCAATTGTATCGTCCGGTGAAGCTGTAAAGGCCATCTGTGGTCAACAGCATTAGAGTAGTCCGAAAAAAAAACGTAAGTAGATGCAATTTTTTAGTAAACATACGTGTGTTTAAAATAAATGCATCTAAAGAATACAAATTACAATAGACAAAGCGCGTGAGCCTAATCCTTTTAAGTTTATTCAAACCTCATCCTAATATGAGGCCGCTCTGCCTCAATGTATTAACTTGGGCCTTGTGTTATAACAATTGTTATAACACATTAACAAAACGATAAATCAATCGTAGAAACCCTGTACTACTAACACGACTTTGAACAGCTCCAAGTATGGTGAGCCTTTCTTCATAGGCACGAGGGGGTCGATTCTGTTCAAGAAGTCGATCTCCACCAGGTCGCACTTCTCACCCTCGAGGAATGTCTGCTCAATGCGCCGGTACACCTGCTCCGCGATGGAGTGAAACGCGAACAAACCCTGGAAACAGAGGGGAAAAGGTATTGTTAGTAAGTAGGGATTAGTTATTTTACTCTGTGATGAAACGATTAGTGGTGAAAGTAAATAAACAGGCAGTAGTTTTGAAACTTATTTAATTTGATTCTTACATGTTGGCTACTAGAAATAGAAATCTTCTTTATTAGTAAAAACTTAATATAAGCTCTTTTGAATAGTCACACTTTTATTATTCTACCACTCATTCGTATGCACAAGAAGAACGAGAAATAAACTTGTGTGTTGCTCTTTTAAATTATTGAGGTAACTTTACATTTTTAAGTTAAAATTTGTGAATACAAGCTTCCAATAAACCTAATTCATTAGAGTCATAATATTAAATACAGAATGTTTAAGTAACTAAATAAGAATAAATTAATCGCAGTGATTAGAGCAGTACAGTCCCCACAAGCAGCAGGCGATCATGCGTATGACGGATAAGCCAGCCCAGCCCAGCCCAGATAAGAATACACCACGATGGGTCAACTGACCTGACTTCATGCTTATCCTATATTGCTCCCGCCAGCGTATTTCGTTAGTGCAGGCGGTTATACTATTCTATTATCAACCATTAAAATATATTGAAGTACTTAGTTTATTATAGATAAATTATAAAATGCAGTAAATAAAAAAAATCTAAATGAAAAAATCAAATCGGGTTGATTTGTAAGAGCTTAATAAATTGAGATCTCTGCCGCAAATATTTGCTTTGTTATCAGATTCATTAAGCTAAGATACAGACCACAGCTAAGATAGCGTGTGAGTAAGCTCGCACGCTTCCATTTAGTTTGGGGCGGTGCCTCCTTCAAGGCGTGCACCTCGGTCCCAGTGGGGGAAAGAAGTGATATTGAGTTGTGTAAAATATATAATTTCCGGCTACGACCAATAGGAGCGGAGCTGGAATAAAAATGTAGCAATACGGAAAAAATGTGACGCGAATGAAGTTGGGTGGATGAGCCAGTATATAATAAAACATTTCTGCGTATAAAAATCTATTTATTCATTTAATTGCTTTAAATAGTTTACATTGTTTTTTGAAATAAATACATATTTCCATATATATTACGAAACAAGTTTAACGTACCTAATTACATGGTTCTTGTTAACTTTGGGAACTGTTAAATGGTAACAACAGTTTAATCGCTCTCAAACTTAACAAGTTATAACTATTAATTAGACTTATGTATGTTTAATTATAGGTTTATACAATAGTATTTTAGGCCCCGGTGGTCTAGCGGTTTAGCAAACCGCTATTTCAGATTATCGCGGGTTCAATTTCTCGCACGGTATACGATATATATGTATATGCTATTGTAAATATTATTACGTCTGTTTTTTGTTTTGTTTTTGTTTATATACAAAAAACAAAAAAAAAACTATTTTTACATAGCATTAAAATGTTTCTTTTCAGTTACATTGTAGGTATACATCATACAAATAGTTACGGGATATTTACAGGTAAAATTGAAATCTGGTTAGTTGGTAATAATAAGTTATTTGTTAATAAATAAATAAAAAACAAACATCTAAATTTGATTCATACTAAATAATACCTGTCTAATTCTTTCGACACCTTCGTTCATTGCGTAAAATTGTCCATTTCCCTTTTCTGGGTCCACTTTCCGGTAGACTGTCGTGTGCAGCGGGTCCTTATAGGTCTGAAATGATGATAAAAAACATTAACACTTCTTTTATTGAGAGCATCGTGTCTAGTGCATGATGAGAGTTTAAATCTGACCGTTACAAATAAGAGGATCTAGTTATGCATGCACGCCTCTGAAACCATTTAGTTAGGGCGATGTCTCCCTCAAGGCGAATTTCTTGGCCCCAGTGGGGGATACAAGTGGCAGGCCGCATCTCAGAGCGACTTACTTCGCGCTGCTCAATCTCATGAATACAAATGTTTGTGCCGTGCGAGGAATCGAACCCGCGACCATCGGACGTAAAGCGGTGTGTTAGACCGCTAGACCACCGAGGTCGTCAAATATCTTTGAGACCATTTAGTTGGGACGCTACCTCTCTCAAGGTAAGCACTTCGGCCCAGTGGGGGATAGAGGTGGGGTTGAGTTGGTTACGCCTCTCTAGGTTTGACTCTTAGAAATGTAAGTTAGACTCTATTCTCCACATTTACACAATGGCCCATTTAAAGATATTTGGGCCGATGTGCGTGTAGATCGGACTCTTTTGTGTACCAGAAAGATCAGATTCCTGCGCCCTTTCCACCGCCTCCTTCCGGGAGATAATTTCTTCACAAAAGAAGGTTGAATAGAGTCCCTCCCTGGTACGGTTGCTGTAAGGGAATTGACTCACCCCCTGGTACGTTATATTTCAAATATTTGCAGGAAAAGTGGGTTATATCAAGTGTTAAGTTCACCACGATTCCGACAATTGACTATGTCCCACCTGAGATGATTTGATGGTGGGTTTTCTTTTTTTAAACATAATAAAGCTAAAGTACCGAAATAAAACTTACACTGAAAACAATATGGTTGTAATCAACATCATGAGCTGCCAGAGGTATTTTGGACCAGATCAGCTGTGCTAGACTCTTGATGGAGTTGGAGGGCGCCTGCAGCAGGACGACGATGTTGGCGGAGTACGCGGCGTATAGCGCCATCAGAACAGTGAAGAATATGAACACTATGATGCGGCCTGTTTGACGGGAGAAATATATAGTTACTAACTAAACTACTACTACTACTAACTAAACTAAACTAACCCGCGCAACTATGTCTGCGTTTCATTTCCCCACCTTTTGTAATAATTTTCATTGCAGCTCCGCTCCTATGAGTAGTAGCGTAATGTTATATAGCCTAAAGCTTCCTCAACAAATTGACTATCCAATACAAAAATATTTTTTCAATTCGAAATAGTAGTTTCTGATGATTAATATTCATAACTATTAGTGTTTTTATTGATCGTTCATATATGTATTTACAAAAAAATCAAACAAACAAACAAGTTGTGCTTCAACTTTATAATATTTAAAAAATGTATGAATATATGGAATATCTGTATACGAATATCATAAATATCCGAAATATATAAATAATAAATAAATAACCCTGGACTATTAACACAACGCCATCTAGATCCATGGTAAGCAGAGCTTGTGTTATGGATGGACAACTGATATAAATACTTAGATTTTTTTTTATAAATACAACATAATTTATATAAAAAACACCCAAACTGATACAAACAATCATACTAATGATTCATGATTCATGAATATAAATGTTTACACCGTGCGAGGAATCGACCCCGCGACCTTCGGAAGTAAAGCGGTGTGCTAAACCGCTAGACCATCGAGGCCATTACTGAGATATAGGTACGGTACTAATATGGCAGTTAAAGGCACTTACCTGAAACTTTTCTAGGTTCAATCACACAGCCTTGCTGGCTTACAGCACTCATGGTCAGCAAGAACGCATCTCCCATAGTGCCGTCCAGTTGTGATGCAGTCTGGAAATAATCTATGTACTGTACTATTCTTTCAGCAGAGCCCTAGTGGAGGATGATAAGATGAGCATGAGGTCAGCCATCGAGGCAAATTCACCAGAAATTTATCACGATAGTTTAGAGGAAACCGCATGTTGGTCTACCTGACTTGATACATTGGTATAGAGCTTTGAAGAGGAAACTCCACTACACATCCTATGTGGATGTAGCCCACTCATGCATAAACGAAATTTCTCCTTTGGAAAGTTTACACCCTTTCCCGAGGAGATAAAAACCATCGCTCCTAAGAATATCCTTCAATTCTTGTCCCTGACGGGTCTAGGTAGCGAACTCTGAAAAAGGGCGAGCACAATATATCTATGTAGGTCGCAGTGCTACAGGTGCTACAGTCACCTGACAATAGCCCAAACAACCCAATAAAAAAAAATAGTCAGAGCTGTACTATTATTACTATCTGTTAGGTATTATACTAAAGGCTGTTATAATCGGTTTGTTGTATATAAGAGTAATATAGTAAAATAAAAGTAAATTGCAGACACATAAAATTATGTAGAATGGTATAAAATAATTAGGAATCAGGAGTACAACAGTTTATTAGTATGTCTGCAGAAGCAGCCATTTTTTTGTTTTTAGTTTTCCCGCGTAAAACGAAATGCGCCACAGATGCAGAATATTACGCAGAGCGCGTCATAGCTGTATGCGCGATGTTAATACTATGAGTATTAACACTATCTATATATGTAAATTAGACGATTCGTCCATTTATCATCAGTTTGGCCGTCAGCTTACTAAACTAAGTTGATATTTCGAAGTTTTGCTTTAATTGTTACCATTTGACTAACCTTTCCACCCCTGGCTTCAATTTTACTGGTGATATAAAGACCGAACATGGCCAGAATTGAACACACCGCAGTGGCAATCCAGACGTTGCTGGAAAACGGCAGCGAGAAGATATTGGAGACGTAAGAGAGGGGAGGCTGCCGGAGTATGAAGCTAACGTGGAAGGGAGCCAACATATCGGTATATGTGACTATCTCGAATCGTTCCATGAATGTTCCCAAACAGTTTGTACCTGAAAGAAACAACCAGAAAACAAGAAGAGTGCCTCTAACTATGTTCTAGTTCTGTCACTGTTGGCAAAAAGATTACAGTCTACCTGATGGAATATTTGGAATTGAGAAGAAATCTTTTGTTTTACCGCTTGTGGTCGCTCTTTACCTGTAGTGGTCATTAAAGAAAACACCGTCTATAAAAAGATTTTGAATATTTTATGACATGGGTAGAAGAGAAGATTTATGTAACTTAATAAGGAACTCTACCAATGGATCTTGTCCTGTACACTAATATAATATTAGAGGAAATATTTGATTCTTTCTTTGTAGTCGATAACTCCAAAACGACTCAACCAATTTTAAAACTTCTTTCGTCTATTGAAAGTAACCTTATCACATATTTATATGTATCTATTATATAGATCTCTACAATAATTACAGTCATGCGAGGTCGGCTTACCAGGTCAAAATTTTTCGCTTACCTACATCCGCTTTGCCTATATGCAAATCATTTATCATCCCAGACCACTTCCCTTTATATTTGTAACCCCATCTTTGATTGAAGATGTACCGCGGGGTAGCATTCAGCATTTGGAAGGCCAAGTGAACATTTATCCAACAAGTTTTTGATATAACATCGTACTGGAGTTCACTGAAAAGGTATGTAAAACATAAAAATACTGTGAGACCACAAATATTTAGTGCGGAAACCTGACCACCGACACTGGAGACCATATTGATCACTATTGGTGATCAAATTGGTCTCCAGTCACGGTCCAGTAAAACGGTCTTCTGATCGTTATATTCTAATATAACGACGAGAAGACCGTAGTTTTAACTACCGAAAATACCTAAAAGAGTGTCATTAACTCGTATTTCAGAAGAAAGTCATTTATTTATTTGTTTGCACAACTATCATTATGGGCCCATTACAATAGTGTATTGAATATTACTAGTATTCGGCCAATGGTCGATATTCAAAGATAACTATTTTAAAATATATATCTGAACATTATTAAGGTTGTTATAGGCTATACTTCTATTCGTAGTCACTTAAAACCCGCGGAAGGACTTATGGAGCGACTGAAGGCCAACTACTGCCTGACGGATACGACTTTTAGGGGTTAGACGGCTCAATCCGAGAGGGTTGAGTAGTCGTAATTTCGAAATTGTACGGGGGTTCGATCGGAGAGGACTATGAAAAGGGTAAAACCCTGATATTCTACCATAACCATAAGAAGTCAGCCCGGAAACTCCTAGTAATATTGCCCATATATATATATAAATACTTACAGTCTGTCCTCTCTTGGTAAATGATACATAGTGCTATTGCTGTCCTGCACCACATTTGACATAGTCAAAGGGGATCGCATCATGTTCCTTCGTCTCCTGAACATCTCCCGGTGTGGTCGGATATCCACCAGGGTCGTATCGTAGTACCCGCGAGGGGTTGAAACCATTGAACTATTCTTTGATGATCTATGTACTGTGGAGTATTTGAAATGTTTACAATGTAATGTAAGAACTTCGTTTTCAAATATTTTTTAAGGATAAATAAACAAAATTGTCTTTGGAATGGTAAACAAACCAGCACGCCGATGGTAAATCGCAAACCTTACCTAACCCTTATATATGAATAGCACCACACTCGTTGTCCTGTGACTGTCATGATACTACTTATGTGTTGCCATTCCAGAAGACTAACCTAACGTCATCATATCACAAAACCATATCGTTACTTAATAGATTCATATTATTTTGATTAATTCTGCTACTATTAGCATGTGTGAGATCATGAATACTCAGTGCAGAAACCCAACCATCGACACTAGAAGCATTATGACTTTGTCTATAGGTGATTAAATTCCGACCGTTATTGATTATATATCCAAACTGTGACTGCACGCACAACACCAGCCTTCAAAGTTATACCCGAGTTCTATTTCTTGGCTGATAATGTCTCGTTTTGAGGCGAAACATGTATCGCAATATGAGTGTAGATTCAATAACGGTCGGAATTTGACCATCTATAGAAAAGGTCGTAACGCTTCCGGTAGCGGGGGTCAAGTTTCCGCACAGAATATTTTTGTTCTCATACATGCTAATAGAAGCGGAATTAAACAAAATAATATAAATACATTAAGTAATGAAATAGACTTTCGCAAAAGAGACCTATTTTGATAAAATATATCATAATGCCTATACGTCACTGGAGTCGGGTAAGGACATTTTAATATTTCAGGTGTTAAACGAATTTTACTTACATTCAGTCAGTGTAAATCCACTTTCCGATCTTTCCGCTAACACCAAGTCACTATCTGGTAAAGCGGGAGTTTCCCACAGACCTGACGACCTTAACTTTTCAGGGTCGCCAGATAAAACGAGCCAACGGTACGGAGAGCCAAAGAGGTTTTTTGATATAGCCTAATAGATGAGACATTTAATTGTAATAATAATATATACATATAACCTAGGATAATTTATACAGCGCAATCCCTCATCTTCCCCAGTCCCATAGCTTAAAGAAAGCTCGTGTTATGTGTACTGAACAACTGATATAAATACTTAGATATTTATTTTTGTAAACATATAGATATGCACAGAAATCATCCAGGCTGATACAAGTAATCGTGCTAGAAATCAACCCGCGCTAAACGAAGTAAAACGGTATGTTAAACCGCTAAACCACTGAGGGCGTCAAGTATATTTGAATAACGTGAAAGTTCTTACAGATTTTGTTATATTTCGGCGTGAGGCGAATCTACGATTAGAAAAGGTTTCAATTGGGGTAGTAAATAAAACAATAGGTAAATATTATTTCTAAACCCACTTTCTGAATAGCTTCTTCAGAACGAGGACAGTCCAGATCGAGTAGGAATATAATCCCATGGTTTTGGTAGCTGTAAGACGTTTTGATTGTAGATGATACTCTACGGCCTTTTCGTATAATTTCATTATATAGTTTGACAGTAATAGCTGGAATAAAATAGAATTAACATACAGTCTACCACTATGTCTTATAACTTCATTACCTAGTATAGAAAGTTGGGGTCTGTCCGTCCCTATGTAGGCTTAAATCTTTAAAACTACGCAACGGATTTTGAAACGGTTTTTAAATAGATAGAGTGAGTCAAGAGGAGGTAGCTAGTAGTAGTAGCAGGTAGCTAGTAAAATATAATAGTTAAATAGAATAGAAATAATCTTTATTCAAATAAACTTAATAGAAGCACTTTTGAATAGTAATATTTATTTATTCTGCCACTGAATGAGTGGAACGCGTCATCACAAGAAGAACGAGCAAGAAACATCTTTTAAATAAATATTGTTCAGAATAACATTTTTGGGAACATATAGGTATATATATATATATTACGTTTTGAAAAGAATCTTGATATGATAGTGGAAACCGTATCAAAATCTATTGAATGGTTTAGAAGTAGAGAAACAGCGATTTAGCCATACACATAAACAAAGGCGCAATTCTGAACACATGAGCAAAAGAAAGGTCTAATATCTAAACAAACTTCTAATAAGTATCTAGGATATAAAATACCAACGAATTTTTTTACAAAATGCTAATTATAATTTGGCTGGACAGACAGATGACAGGTATATACACATAGATTATACTCTAGATTAAGACATAAAATACTTTTAACTCTTGAGTCAAGTGAGCAATGCCGGGAGATATCTCTCGGTAATACCTAACATTTAACATAAGAAAGTAATACGTAATATAGGTAGGTAGACTCACATTTTGGCCAGCAGAGTTCGTTTAGGATCAAATGAGTCGGTTTCCGTTCGTTATCGATAAAACTTTTAATAAAATCGATAGAATTCACATCATAAGCGTGTACTAGTGCATCGGTTGCAACTAGAATTAATAGTTTAAACAAAGTTTCCATTATTTTTAATAGGTCGCTGCAATATAAATAATATTCTTAAGTGTCCTCAGTCAACAATATTTATAATCTACATTATTAACTCGTCTTGTATTTAAAATTCGAATATTTTAAGCATATTTAAAAATCTATAAAAAAGTAATGAGGGGATGGGTGTAAAATTTAAAATTCTGCACAAAGTACTCATTTATTCCTGCTCATGCATTATGACAAAACTTGGCTTTAGTTACAGTCAAGTTGACTATATGTTCCAGCTAAATAATAACATAAAAATCTAGAAAATAACAAATCTTCAGAACCGTATAAAAATTCTATCAGTAATTAAAAAGTAAATATATCCTTATCACATCTTGATTTCGAATATCAAAGACCTTTCGATTCGACCATTCGAAATTCAAAGTCGGTATGAGATGCTAGTTACACATTACACAATTATGAAGGGATGCTTCTCGCTTGGAAACACGTATAGCAGTCTGCTGCATTTTCCTTTAATTTATTTAATTTAGGCTACTAATGGCCTATATTATAAATACCTTACAGACTAACATACATATGAATGATATTAACATTTATAGAAAAATTAAACATAAATTGTCTGTGTGGTCACTGAATTGATGACGGTAATCTACCACGGTAGCGCCGATACACCACACCATTCGGCCAGTCCTGCTTCGTGAAGTTGGTCAGAATGTTGGTGGGAACTCGAGCCACAAACGCCATGAAACTCGCGTTACGACTCAATTCCAGCTGCGTCACCCTTAATGTCAGGCTATTTTTGGTCCATATGTAGTCGACAATGTCCTGTTCCTTAGTGGCGTAGCATGGTTTCCAGGAGGAACCATGTGGAGGTCAACTTGACCTGATACATTGCTAACAATGGATGTTATTAGTCCATATTATTAACAAACTCGTTTCCCCTGGTAGGTGTATGTTATAACCACGAAATATTTTCCCCTTACAAGTCTCTAAAATCAAATCAGGGTGGGGAGGGGTTTATCAGTAATGCGGACTAAGAACCCCATTGTTAGCAATGTACCATGTCAGGTTTACTCCAAAAGGTTCCCCCTGGCAACCATCGTGGTAAATTGTCATTTGCCAAGATGTTCTAACTGACCTGACTTAATGCTCATTTTATCATCCTCCACTGGTACCTCGCCAGCGTAAACCGATGGCGCAGCACGGTGCATCATTCCATCATCATCCATTAAAAAATCAAATGGGATGGCACGTCTATGAAGTTTGATTAAAACAAAAAGGATCACTTACATGTCACTTGAAAGTGACGTACCGTTCACTTCAGTATGAAATGACAACTACACTAAGTAAGGTAGGTAAAAAACATTTTTATGAACTCGATTGGCTAATGGTATTATGATGGTAGATCCATTGTAATTAAAAGTTGTAGTAACGATACCATCGGTAGTACCATAAATCTATACTAATATTATAAAGAGGAAAGATTTGTATTTTTGTGTGTATGTATGTTTAAAAATGAATAAATTCAAAACTTATTCGCCGATTTCAAAAATTCTTTCACCATTAGAAAATTACATTCACTCTGAGTAACATATGCTATATTTATTACTAGAAAAGAGTAGGGATCCTTATGAAAACTTTAGTAACGTAACTCAAGGTGTAAAAAAATGCTATAAAATATCTTTCGTCGCGTGCGCTGCGGAAACTATTGGTGATAGAACAAAAGTATGTTCTACAATATTGAAGAACGTATCAATAACTACAAAAAACCTAGCTATACTATATATCCAACTATTATCGTTATGTCACAATAACTACTTTTTACATTTTAAAAGTTGATAGAAATACCGACCAAAATTAGACCATGTTATTCATTCAGTTTAAATCCTTATCTAAATAAATCATGTTGTTTTCAAAACTGTTTCAATTTATGTATATTACTTTTTTAATTGTTCAAATCGGTTATTCCATTCAATAGATATTAGAATAGAATCGAAAATCATTTATTCAAATAAACTTAATTTAAGCACTTTTGAATTGTCATAACAATTTGTTTTTTATCTACCACTTGTTCGGAAAGCTGTCTCATCACAAGAACAACGAGCAAGAAACTTGTGTGTTGCTCTTTTAAATAATCCTTGCATAATAAGTTTACATTTAGGTACAAGTCGAAACGTGTGAATACAAACTACCAACCAGCACAATTTTTTTGGGTCAAATATAAATATACAATAAGATTAAATCAGTCGTAGTGATAAGAGCAGACCAGTCCCGAATTACGAATTTAATAAGTCATAGAAACAGAAAACAAAACGCTATCGTGTTGTACATGTTATTTATACCTATTTATTAATCCTAATGCAAATAAATTATTTAATTATTCAAAATTGTTTCAGTACCTGCAGTAATCGTAGGTGTACATTCTATTCATCGGATCAAGCAATTTTCGGATCGGATCAAGCATTCGGAATAAGCAGTGTCAGAAATGCTCATGACGAAGTTGAAAATTATTTAAACAGCCGCTACATCTGAAGCAGTGTGGAGGTTGTTAGAGTTTCCTATACGTGACAGACACTCTACCGTAGTATACCTAGAGAACGGACGAGTATACTTCTCACCAGAAATCATGCAAAACATTAGACAATCCACCAAAAATGAAACTCACGGCATTTTTTGATCTACAGTAGTGACGGATTTGCTACAACACTACTCAATGCTAACAATAAATTTTCTAGAAGGAAACGTGGATAAGACCTAGGTGGACAACCCGGAATAATAAAAAAGATGTAGCATTCAAATGAGTATACAGTATTTATCCTTTCCAGTCAGAAGGTTTTTATCTCAGGATACTACTTCATCGTGACCGTAGCCCAACATCGTTTCAGGACTTAAAAATAGTTGATGGAATTGTTAAAGAAACTTACAAATCTGCTTGTCGAGATAGAGGTTTGCTAGATCAGATAAAAATGTAAAATGTTGTAAAAATGTCCACCCGTGCGAAGCCGGGACGGGCCGCTAGTATCTAATAAAATTGTAAAACGTTAATGGTGGAATAATAAAACGGTTCCCATAGATAAGAAAACGATTTAATTTATTCGAATAGTGAAGGGAATTAATAATACTAGTGGTCGCCCAAAGATCGAAATTCTACCATAATTAATTTAAATTATAAGTTTGAACATTATTAATAATAATAATAATAATAATAGTCATTTATTCAGCATCATAGTACAGAGTATAAAAGAAAACTTAAAAACTAATATTTCGCTATGAGCTGAAAGGACCTCCACTCAGCTGGTGCCGCAGCCTACAGCGCTGATTTTCAGTGGAGCCACTTGAAAAAAAAGAAATAGCATTCGTTATGAATTTAAATATCTAAAATCTTCATTTTAATGTATTTTTTATAAATAATTTATGCACTCCTCTATATAAACTGTATCTAAGTGTTCGAAATTTTATACTCCTATATCCGTGCAATTATCGTAAAAAGGATAATATTAATAAGTGAAGCAAAAACTTATGAAGTTTTTGCTTCACTTATTAATATTAAGATTACAATTTCTGACCTCTTTACTTTTTCTCTTCATTACGTTGTATCAACTTCTATTCTGATACTAAAAACATTTATTTTCTTGATCCGTTGTTCTTAATAAATAAAAAAAAGTTGTTCTTTTTTTAAATATTTTATTCAATGTAGACATTTTGGATAATTTCTACAACTTTGAAAGAACGAATGATAATATTTCAAATTTATATATGAATCATTTTTAATAAATTTAATTGAAAGTGCAATACCATAGTTATTACAAAAAAATATAAATCCTTTACCAATTACATATAAAATTAGTTTAAACAAGATGTACTTATAAATAATTATTTTGACTGGTAGTTATTTATTTTTGAGTGAGTGAGTTACCGTATGACAGAACTTTAGTAGTTATATTTTGTAGTTAGAACACATATTTTTTTATATTTTATAATCTATTAATTTTATTACATATAACTTATCTCTAATCCAGTGTCTTTAGATATTATGTTATAAATAATATTCCAAGAAAAATATTTCCATTTGACACCATGTCACATATCCCTTTTGTACCGTGAAAGAACTGAGTATAAATGAATAAATAAAAAAAAATTGCTACTTACAAATAAAATTGGACGGTTTTACACAATATTACTAAAATATATATTTCTTTCCCAATCCTTTCCTAATACCTTAAAAATATGGTGTAAACCAGTTTTTTTCCTTTATAGATAAAAATACCAAACGTTTAATAAATAGGTTTAATTATTTTTTAGTTATTGTATTGCCTTGGCCTTTTCTTCTGAACTGTTTTTCCTTATTTGACAGTAAAATATAAAACACTTATAGCGAGATGAGTTCAGAAAAAAAACAGAAATAATTATATGAATATATTTGTCTCAAAAGGTCACACAATTAAGTAAAAAATGAAATGAAGGGCAACAAAATAATATAAAAAAACTTAATGCGAGGGTGCCACTATTGCTGTCATTTTTAAAATTAATAATTATTGCTGGCAACTTGTCTTGTATCCCTTTTATAAATATTTACGCATTTTATTGATACTCCTTTTTTATATGTCATTTTTGACCTTACTTTATTGCAAACCTTTTGTGACTGATACATATACTTATTTTTTGTTTTCTTAAACAATATTGTTGTTAAAAAATATTGACTTCGTCACAATATTTTTTTATATTATGTTTCCCATCTACAATAAAACTTGATATGAATGCTCTAAATTAAATATACATATATTAATTACCACAGATAAGTTATTATTACTTATCTGTATTACTTGTCTGTTATGATGTAATAGGGACTCTATTCCCCTCATTTAACGTTCTAATATGGACCATTGTGAGTGTTACTACATATAAGAACATATAACACAAAATATTTCTGTGGTGTTATACCCTTATCAATTCCTATCGACCAAAATCAATTCCTTATTTTTTTTTTATATCATGTAGGCAAACAAGCATACAGCCCATGTGATGGTAAATAATTACCGTAGCCTATGGACGCCTGAAACACCAGAGGGTCAGGTGCGCGTTGCCGACCCTTAAGAAACCTTAATATACCCTTATGAATTGTGATAATTTTTTTAACATTTATTTAGTAATAATGCGTTTCTGAACCTATACATGATTTCGGGTTAACTCAATGCGATCAAGTTTTAAATAAACTTGGTTTCACTAGTCACATAAGAGCGCATGAAAGGAAACATTAGTGAGAAACTGCTGATGTCGGGTTTACCACTTACCACAAGGAGGACATCATCATTTACTTATACTTTATTGCACACATAAATTACATGAATAAGTTATCTTTATGTTGAAGATGTACAACAGTACTTAAAGATACAAAACAATATTACTCACTTACTATAATTAGCTTTTTAAAGCGATTTCGTTTGATCCATTCCACCCATCATAAGGTTCTTAAAATAATTACTTTCAATTCAATGTACCTATTTGTACATTTATTACAAACTATATATGCCCCGTGGCTCCGTATGCGTGACATAAAGCATATTTTATTCATAAATAATATAGCCTTTTATAAGCGTGGGAATTTTTATATTCCCCAAGTATTAATTGAATTTGTTTTTGACATTGACAATGATGGTTTGCTCATCCGTCATACTCGGAAACGAGAGTTGTTTGTGGGGACTGGTCTGTCTGTCTGTCTGTTCGATTACGGACACTAATTAGACTATATCCTTTTGACAAAATTGAAATAGAAGTCTATTTGAAAAATGAACCCTTTCTTTAAACATGTACAAGCTCATTTGAAAAGAATACGAGCAAGTTCATTGTCCGTTCATCTTGGATTGAAAACACTCCGAACCGACGGTGGATTTGACATAACATAAGAGTTTGTAATAGACCTAAGTACATGAATAAATCAAATTAATAAAAAAATTGATATTTGATTATTTGACAAACAAAAATAACCTATCACTCTTTATAATACGAGTTGAAATACATACTTGCAATTAAGAATAAATATTAAACTAATTCTTAACTAAAATATTAATTCTTAAAAAATAAATAATACATATATATTATAGTTAAGATATGGAAGTACCAATTTTCATTGTGCAGCACTGATCCATTACGCAAAAAATGCACTTCTGAAAAATAACAGCTAATTCGATAAAATAAACACTGTTACTGTTTTCCATTTCTAAATTTATATACAAACTCTGTTTTGTTACTTTAATATTAAAACAGTACATTCAGCTAAATAATTTTATAGCATTTAACATACAATCTCAATGTTGGTAGTTTGTATTCACACGTTTCGATTTGTAAATGTAAACTTACAAGGATTATTTAAAAGAGCAACACACAAGTTTCTTGCTCGTTCTTCTTGTGATGAGACAGCTTTCCGAACGAGTGGTAGATAAAAAACAAATTGTTATGACTATTCAAAAGTGATTAAATTAAGTTTATTTTAATAAATGATTTTCTATTCTATTCTATTAACTAACAGTAAAAGAGGTATACAAATGATTGTAACATATATATTTGTTTGAAATATGTATATTTAAACTAATGGTCATATAAAAGTGTTAAACACTTTATTATATACATGACTAGTGGAAAAGCGTCAATTATAAGCAAACAAAAATACTTTCTAGTAACAAAAAATATATAATTATATTACAGTAAAACTCTGATTTCAGTAAAAAGTAAAACTTTTCAGTAATATTTCAATTTTACAAATTCTTCTAAAAATTCGAAATGAATGGAAACCACAGAGGCGTTTTAATAAAAGACCGAACTGCACTATGGTTATATCTCCAGATATAACTATATATAATACAATCTGTATATTTTAACATAAGCCTATAAAATTAACCATCAAAATAAATTACATAAAAATCTCACTCAATATAATTGGTCGATAAAATACCAGTGGTCATTGTCAAATAAATACTATGCTGTAATATATATAAACAAAAAGGTTTATTTTGAAGCATTATATATCGGATAAAAAAAACCTTTTTGTTTTAATCTATGTCATAATTATTCCATACGTCAATAAATAAGAAAAAATAAAAAGACGTAGAAAAAGTAAAAACGTAAATGAGTGGCATTGTAATTCGTCTCACAAGTTCTTTTTCAAAATAAAAAATATATTTTACAAAAGTATATAGTTACAAAAATATTTTACTTTTTAATAAATGTCTATTGTGGACAGTTATAAAATATATATTGTCTTTGGTTACGTCGAATTATTTAAAAGTGTGGAGTGTTGTTTATTAGTATTGTCTATGTTTGGTGCTTCAGAGCTCCTTATATTCAGACAGTGGAAGTTATTACACAGCGAGTATATCTGAAAATTAATAAGAATTATTTGACTTAAATAATTTACGAAGTGCATGAAGTAGTGTTTTTACGTAATTTGAATAGAACGGTTACCGTTGCCTGTATATATATAAATAATAATAATAATTGTACGAGACATAAAAACTTCTTTGTATTTATTTTAAATTTCGAACGCGCTTCGCATTCATTTGTTTTAAGAATAAAAAATATTGTTAGAGATGTGAAAATACCATCATGGCGTTTTATTTATCTCCACAAATTTTCAACTATGATTTATACATAGTTAATGGTCCTTCGAGCCGGACAATTCACACAGCGCCATCTAGAAGTTAAGCTAACTAAAGCTTGTGTTATGGGTACTAGATAACTGATACAAATACGTAGATATAATTTTTTTCGTAACTACATACATATTATACACAGATAACACCCAGACTGATACCAACAATCATACTCATGAATGCAAGTTTGTGCCGGTCGAGGAATCGAACCCGCGACCATCGGAAGTTAGGCGGTGTGCTAAACCACAGATCACCGAGGTCGTTGAGAAAATTCTCTTTATATTTAAAGCGTTTTTCTATTTTTTTCCATTCTTTCTCATTCTCATCTATTTAAATCATTGTATCTCTAAGGAATCAAACTTGTGCTCATTAGAACGTGGTGTGTTAAACCACTAGACCACCGAGATCATAAACATATAGACTAAAATGTATACTTACAGTATAAAACAATATAGGTAGAGATATAACAGCGCCGGCCACTACATCCCACCAGTGGTGTCTATGGTCCGTCATTCGTGATAGACCACAGTATACTGCTATCATCATACACAGTATCTGAGATGCGAATACAGCCGGCGGCTTTACTTGACTGGTACGCTGCTGGAGATAATACTGTGGAAAGAGATTTTAATTTTTTTTTATCACTAGTTGTACCGACTTCGTCCGAGTGGAATTTAACTTTAATTTTCTAAGATTAAAGATTTTTCTTAAATAAAAGTAGCCTAAGTTACTTCTTATTACATCAGCTACCTGCCAATGAAAATCCCGTCAAAATCGGTCCAGCCATTTCAGAGATTAGCCGCAACAAACAGGCAGACAGACTAAAATTGTAAAAAAATGTAATTTTGGTGCGTGTAGTAAAAAACGGTTATTTCAATATTACAAACAGATTTATTTATATGTATAGATAGGCTATTAGGACTATATTATAAATACCTTATAGACTAACATAAATATGAATTAATATTTTAATACTAATATATAGTTGGTGTTTGTGTGACAATCTGCTACGATAGGGGGGAAAGGGGATTGTTAGTAATGTGGATTGATGATCTTATTGCTAGCAATGTACCATGTCAGGTTGACCTCCATGCGGTCCCTCCTGTAAACCATCGTGTTAAATAACAACGCGAGTTTCAAAGCGTTTGTGGCCCTGGTCCCCACTGACTTGCTGCCCACCTTCATGAAAGAGGACTACTGGCCGAAAGGTGTGGTATACCGGAGCTACCGTGGCAGATTGCCGTCTTCAGTGCCGTGATCACACAGACAATATCAATGTATTAGTTTTTAAATATTATATTATATGTATGTTAGTCTATAAGGTATTAATAATATGGGCCTAGTTGCCTGCAATAAATGAATAAATAAATAAATAAATTCCTCGTGAATGTCACGATGGGCTAACTGACCTGACCTCATGCTCATCTTATCATCCACCACTGGTGCCCCGCCAGCGTAAACTGCTAGCGCAGGTAAGTGCACCATTCCATTATCATCCAAAAAAAAACTACATATTTAATATGCAGAGAGGTTAAGATGTTTAGGCTGGTGTAGTTAAGGTTAAATGTGCGTCATATAGTTGTCTTGTTTGTACCAAATTGTTTTAGAATTTAGTAAAAAATATAGTGTTAGAATATCAAAAACATTAAGTATATTTTTTTTATTAATTATTTGATGTAAGTAAGGTATATAATTACATATGCGTTTAGTAAAAATGTGTTAATTTTTAATTACAAATATATAATTCAATTTTATTTATTTGTAACTAGCTATCGCCCCGGCCACGGGTGTACATGTATTATATATATAAACCTGCCTCTTGAATCATTCTATCTATTAAGAATTCGTTGCGTAGTTTTAAAGATTTTATACATAGTGACGTATGATATTCAGTTTAACAGGCGGCTACTTCCAGCAAATTTCACGCGATTGAAACCGCAGGCACAGCTAGTATAATAAGAATAATATCTCAGGACAATTCACACAGCGCCATCTGTTTCCAAGCGAAGCAGAGCTTGTGCTATATGTATTTAATTATTCAAACTTTAATGCACAAATATACATGATATGGCGGACTTAACACCTTGAGGTGTAGTGTAGGTACTAGACAACTTATATAAATACATAGATACATTTTTTTGGGTAATCCCATTCTACGCAGTAAGCCAGTGTTTTGGGGAGCTGGTCCAATTCCCAGACGCTTCATGTTTCTCCAAACACTCCCATAACTCTGTGTTCGTAAAAAACATAGAATACGTAATACATAGAAGACCCCTTCCTGATATTATTATTATTATTATTGTATTATATTATCATCCCCCACTAGTACCCCGCCAGCGTTTACAGTTAGAGCAGGCGGGTGCACCATTCCATTATCATCCATTAAACAAAGTGCTGAAGATATGCTATCCTTATTTTAATAAGAAGAGACAATCTTCATATAAATAATATATACCACGATTCTTAGGTATCTAAGCATTTTGTTTACGTCATGTTTTCCTTCCTGGTTGACCCCTTTTTAAGTTAGTCAAATGTCAGTTATTAGTTACTCACCACAATAAAAACCGCAGCGTGTAGTGCAAGCGAGGTGTGACCCGACGGGAAACTCCTGTCGGACTGACTCACCCAGCCTGCCTTCGTGCAAGTGTAGCTGTATACATATTCACCTCTAAAAAAAAATAAGTCACAATATCAGTTACCATACTCCTCTGAAACGGCTTGAGCGATTTTTATAAAATTTTATATGCATATTCATTAGATCTAAGAACCGGGTACAATCTATTTTTTGTTTTTAAGTCAAAATTTTTATTGTTTATTTTTTTTTACAATTTACCATTAAAAATGTATATAACCCTAAATTTCACCTTTCTATCACCAACCCCTATTTTCTAATACCGATTTTCATTTATATGGCAAAACAACTTTTTCGGGGTCAGCTAGTAATAGTATACATAATATCATAGTTTAGATGTTTTTAAAAAAAAAAAAAGGAGAGATGAATTTTTTTTTCCGGAAAGATTTTCCACTGGTTTTCAGTTCAGTATTTATTCAATAATGGTTTGAAATCACAGTTTTAATTTTGTCAACCTATCCCATACACCCTGTATATGATAATAACGTACGTCTCACAAGTCAGCGCTTCTTTGGGGCTGCATGTATCGAAAAAGTGCGGTCTTGGAGAGCCAACAACCTGCTTCAGAACATGTACCACAGTCAAGTTTATAAGTACACCAAACATGTACTCCTTGTACCAGCGCAATGCTTGCTGCTTCGCTCTGTCCGTCTTATTGTCCGAATTGTAAGCTTTCTCTATTAATAACATCTGAAAATAATAATAGAGTGCAGTGTTTAGTACACAAAAATCAAATAGAACCACAAAACATATTTAGTCACCAAAAACCAAATCAATTAAAAATTGAATAAATTTTTATTTGGTTTGGTTTTTGTTGACTAAATGTTAGTCTACAACAGATTCTTATATTTCAAATCTACCGTATTGTACGTATCGTATCGAAGTGCTTTCGAGCTGAGAAGAACTGATAAGAAAGTCAGTTCGTATTATTTTTAAATGAGCTTGTACATATTTACAAGAATACAGAATCATTGTTAAATTCAATAAGGGAGATTAGAGTGACCATCAGCATCTGGCTATTGCACTTTTGTCAAAAGAAAATAGTAATCAGTGTTTATTTATATTCAGTTTATTTGTAATCAGTGTCCGTAATCCGCACAGACCAGTCACAAGCGGCACCGGTTCACGAGTATGACGAAAGATTGCACTCAACAATATTAGAGAGAGCAAATTGCACAAACGACTTAAATCCCATTTAGGATAACTCAAAAACTACTGGTTAGATCTTGATCATTAATTCAATTTATGTGGGACCACTGAATCACTAGTTTTCTAATAAATTAAGAATCATCAAAATCAGTCTGCGTAGAAAAAAGTTACGAATCCTCCTTTTTCTAAGTCGGTTAATTCAACATTTCAGTGGAAGTTACTTGAAATATCATCAAATTAGTAAAGGGACCAATATGGAAGTAGAACATGTAGATTGAAAAGAAATATTATCAGGTTGACGAAAGTGTCAGATAACATATTGATAACTAAAACATACAAAAAGGGTCGTATTCCTTCCTTGTTTTATAATCTATTTTTTTAGTAATGATATTCTTACTAATATTAGCGAAAATAACTCTGTCTGTATGTCTCGCTTTCACGTCAAAAATACAGCACTGATTGAAATGAAATCTAGTACACATATAGTCTAGATCCTAAGAAAGAACATAGGCTACTTTTTAATAAGAAAAAAGGGTTGAAAGGATAGATGAAAGTTTATATGGAAATTCGTCATTTTTGGAGCTAGAAACGTGAAACTTTTCTTTGAATCTATTGCATTAGATTCTTAAATACTTTTTCTTTATTTGGTCAAAGTTACTATTGCACGCGGACGAAGTCGCGGGCGCAATTAATTAATATATAACGCTAAAAAAAAACCTCCTCACCTCACCTCATATTCGAATGACGAAAGGAACGAGATATACATAATATTTATCGCACTTTACTATACGTAATCGTCACGATGACGGTGTCAAATTGTTAATATAAATAGCCTTGAATTTATCTCATACATCTTAAAAAAATACAGATCTATTGTATTCGTTACAACTCTTTACATGGTAATGTAAAAATAAATGTAATTGAGGATTATTCAAATTTTGGAAGAACATGTACATACAACATAGATAATAATAACCCCAATTTACACAGCGCCATCTAATCCCAACCTTAGCAGAGCTTGTGTTATGAGTACCTACTAGGCAACTGATATAAATACTTCGATATATATTTTTTGTAATATAGATACTTTTTTTATTTCGAACTATTCTAATGACACTCCAAAGCTGTAGAAGTACTTATGGAGGGTCTGAAAGCTTACTCCTGCCTGACGGATACAACTTTAGTCTGAGGACACCGCTAGGGTTTCGAACCTCGACTCAGGCCGTTGTAATTTTGAATTGGTCAGAGGATCGATAGGGGCGATGAAATACATGCATAATGTACATAGATAACACTCAGACTGTGTCTACTGTGCGTACTAAATATCATTTATTAATTTTTATTTATTCATTTTGTGCTGTTGAAGCTCATTCATTTTGTGCTGTGTGAAGTTACAAATGCCATAAATATATAAATATACACAAATACAATAAATAAACTTACAACAACTAATGGAAGAAGGATGACTGTCACCAATAACCACTTCCAAGAGATTGTATCTCCATTAAATTGGTGTGACAGCGCTGGGTCATTGCATAGGAATCCAATTTTTCCACCCGGAAACAGCTGGAACTCCGACACGAGGAATAGTAGCAATACTGGTAACAATATGAGTAATAAATTTACACTTCACCTTTAAACGGTATTGGTTTTGGTCATTTGGATTTGGATGTTGGGCCCATGGAGCCCGTAAGCGAAATTGTTTTTGACAAGTATTACAGTGCATCTTCTCAAGGTTACTTGTGACCTGAGACCTGTAGCTACTTTGCCCAGAGTAGCTACAAGTCATTTTAACATCACATGTTTTATTAATTTTACACATAATTTTTTCATATAAATGCTGTAGCTGCCAATAATTAAGGTTGCACTCAGAAACTCCTTATTATAAATGTGAAAGTTGGTGAGTATGGATGGTTTGTTACTCTTTCATGCAAAAACTACTGAACAGATTTTAATGAAACTATCAGAATAATACATAGGCTATAAATTTAATTTAGCAGGCACAGCTAGTATTCAATATATTGTAATTGTGCTGTTGTATGCCTTGTTGGTGACCTAATTAATTAAAAAAATATATAAATAAAAAACCCTTATTTTTTCTGTCCATAAATTTTTCCTCCTTATTATAAAAGTACTAGTATATACTGTTACATGAGCAAGTTTTACTTTTTTCGCTTTATGTATTAACAATAGGAACATTGTGGTTGTGGTCACAATGTCCTTCGACATAGGCTTCCTCCGCATAAGGAGGCCTAAATATGAGTATTACTACAACTTCAGTGACTCGCATAAAAATCTTGTTTGTTTTCATATGATGTTTATCCATAATGACAAACAAAATCAATTTTGTTCCAATTCCTTTTCTTAATTAACAGTTAAGCAATTATGTCAATAAAAAGACAAGCTGTCTTAGCTTAGACAGAGTATATCATACTTAATTATAAAATAATCATAAACAAGCCATAAGCCTTGATCATAAATTAAATTTGTACACTTTAGTGTTTAAAATTCTGACTTGAAAATATTACTTAGAAATTTTTATCACTTTGTGTATAACATATGCAATATAGTATCATTTTTCCAAACTACTGTAAGCCTCAGCTAGCCATTACAGCTTCACCATTTGATAAGGGGTGAGTGTAGATGGCACCCCAACTCATGGTAAGTTATGGATCCATCATGTGAGATATTTAGTCTGAGAATATTGCTAGGAGGTTCGAAAATCAGTGCATCATAGCCTCAGGCAACACTAAATCAATTTGTGGTTTTCACCAATGTGTTGTAGCAAGCTGAGAAGGTTATAGTCCATGCCAATAATATAAATTCGAGAAAATCTAATATATATATATATCTACTAATACCTAATATTTGGTTGTTCCTTTGTTTCAATAATTTAACCAATAAAAAAGTTATAAAAATATAATCTATAATAGTAAAAAATTGTATTGTAAAGATCACTTACATCGGTGCCATCGGTTCATTTTAGACCATACTAATTTCACCTTATCCATTCTCTAAACACGTGAAACTTATATGATAGATATTAGCAAATGAATCATGAAACTGAAATTAGTCAGACCGACTGCCACTACACTTTAATTTCTTACAAACTTTAATATGTCTACCACAAACTAAATAGATGATACATTAATTAGTATTTAGGAAGAACTCAAAATTGATTGTAATTTTGTTTTAAATTCTCTCAAAACGTAACATAAAGTTATGTAGAGTTTATTGAATTTTTGTGGTTTTTACTAGAAATATTTTATTTCATTTGTAATTAATTATATTAATTTAATAATTATTATAATATTTAATTCCTCGAAGTTTAAAGACAGTAGTTCTTCACACAGCAGTTAAAAAATTGACATTGGTAATTGGTATTTGACAACGGTTAGCAGAATAATGTCAGACATGACATTTTGAAATTTTGACTGCTGTAGACTGCGTAATGAAAAAACTCTGTATTAAAAAGAAAAGAAACCACTTTATTTTTAATTTAATATTTCATTTTTTGTAATCTTTACTAAATAATATACTTTAAAACTACGTTCGTCAAAAACTTGGTACTAAATTCAAATAGTGAACACTATACTCTGGTTAATTTTATAAAATATTTATCATTGAAAAGATTTGTCGAGCAAGGACTACTAACTTTATTTTTTTATATAATTTAAAGCATAACAAAATCCTATAAATCTATTTTATAAATATTTCGTATTAAAATAACCATTCAAAGAAGGGCCTTTTTGATAGTTTTGTCTTCAGGTATTTTCAACCAGAATAGTTGATACTACTTGACAATAGATGGCGAACAAATAATGTTTTGTCTTGGGATGCAAATATTTTTATATAATTAGAGAGCGTGTAAGAAGAGGTAAAACCAATAAGATATCTTAAGACAAGTATGTCCTAAGTGATTTTATTGTTTTAATTATTAAATAAAGTACTTTTAATAATACGGGTAATACTTTTTGGTTCTCCAGTAGTCAGCAGGTTTTTGTAAAATAAGGACCGGTCTTTTCAAGAGATGGAATTTTTTAGTTTTGCGATTATTTACATCTATTTCACAGTTATAAGTTACGAATTGAGTTTTACATTTATAATAGAAAAAAAAATATTTTTATTTGTTTCAAATGAGATTGTTGTCAATTAGAATACATGATTAAATTTCATATTCTCTGTTAACTTTATAATGTTTTGTTGCGTTTATACGTAGGGATGAAAATCTATTAAAATTAGTCTGTTGTTATTAGTGAAAGCCTGTCAATGGCTTAGTATGACGTATATATTGATTTTATTTAAGATATACTTAAATAGCCTTGGTTTTCCTTTAATAAATAAATGAATAAATCTTAGAATGCACAATTTTACAAGTCCAATTTAATTATACAAGAACTCACATGGTGCTTTGGAATGTTGTTGTGTTTAGATGCAAACGATGTAACGGACACACGGACTGTTTATGTATAAATAATGTGTATCAACTCTACATTTACATTAGTACATAGTCAGATGTAACTAACATAACTAAATTACGATTGTCGAAACTTTGCTGTTATTACCATTTGCTTGGAGAAATCATTTATTGTCTTTTTAAGTATATTTTTATTAGCATAGTATTTTTGCATTAGTATTATATTTTTACCACTTAACTATGTATAGTACATATAATATAGAATAGAATAGAATTAATCTTTATTGAAATAAATTTATATCTACTTAAGCACTACTTAATTAGGCACTCAAACGGATAGAGTTTTTTTACTAAAACTTTTTTTTAAATCCATATTGGAAGCAAAACCTACCATAAACAATAATAAGCTACTATAATATTATACGCATGTCCCTTTAATCGAAAAATCTCCTGGTATTATGAGAAGGGTCAAAGATTAAACTCTATTGTTCTTTGAACGGCATAGTTATCGTTCGACCATAAACAATGTTTCTCCGATATTCTTAAGTACGTACTTAATCGTTATGTACACGTAATTCGAATAGATTTTACATAATGATACTGGCAACATTATGAGGAATGTAATACTAGCTAAACAATGGACTCTCGGTACTCGGTACTGCATATGTATGTACTAAATGAAATTGGAATTTAGAACAATCATACTAATATTAAAAATGCGATAGTTTGTGAGTATGTACTATCCGTACATACTTTATATGGATATTTGTTTAGTCTTTAACGCAAAAATTATTGAATGGATTTTAATGAAACTTTATAGTAATATAGCTTATACATCAGAATATCACAGGTTATAAATTTCATGCAGTTGAAACCGCAGACATAGCTAGATTAATATATAAAATCGTAATTATCTTTACATATAAATAAAATTGGAGCGTCTGTATGTAATATTGAAGTAAATATTATTTTTTACATTTTTGTCTGTCTGTTTGTTCCGGCTAATCTCTGAAATCAATGGACTGATTTTGGCGGGACTTTTATTGGCAGGTAGCTGATGTAATAAGGAGTAACTTTACTATGTACTTTTATTTTAGAAAATTCCACTCGGACGAAGTCGCGGGAACAGCTAGTATCAAATATATATATATACATATATAATATGAATAAATATTAAAAAGTATATTAAAAAAAATATGGGACTGGCGTACTAAAAAGAGACGAGAGTGCCTAAATTAATAAAGAAAAAGAAAGTATATAATTCTCTCCATCGAAATTTTCATCACAAAATGTATCACCTCGCATATCGCCTCCTTTGCATGCAAATAAATTTTGATGATTTGCACATATTTTTTAATGTGCATTGTTGAAAAGCCAGGCAAACGTATTAACGCATGCCTCTTACTTGTTATTGTGTAACTGTTTATATAAAAAAATCTATTCAAAAGAGCAACACACAAGTTTCTTGCTTATTCAAAAGTGCTTATATTAAGTTTATTTGAATAAAGATTAATTCTATTTCTTAAAAAAAGAGACAGTTCTTAATTGGATAGAATTTTTTTATCGTGTTACCTTAAAACTGTTTTTAATTTGAACCGCTTTTGATTTGATTTTTACTTGAAAGATGATACTTCCCTTCGTATACCTACATGAGTACATTTAATCGTACCTATATAACATAAAATATGTAGTATAGTACATATATATCTCGAGAACATATAACATAATGGCAGAACTAAACTATGGGTAATAAAATGTTTGGATATTTCAGTTCACTAATTTAACAATCAGTTTTGTTTAACTGTACCTACTGTAACTACCATTGTAATTAAAATTACGTGTGGGCTAACCCTTTAACCAAAACGTTTGGTCGTAAAAGTGTTTACGAATTTGATCTCAATGTTTTTGCATTATTTGAATTGATTAAGGTTATGGGTCATAATTTTTAGGATTCTGTAACAAGATAGTTAATACAACACCATGTTCTGGGCACGGAAACACTGACTATATCGTATATTTAAATATAACTCGAAAATGACTAATCAGATACTGATCTAGTCTATCTAGAACCACAAGCTTTGAAATAATAAAAAAATTAACAATATTGATTCACGTAGAGAACAAAAAAAAACAAAAATATAGTCCAATTGACATAATCTTAAAATATATAAAAAGGAAAGATTTCATTTTTATATATTTGTCTACGACTTATACTCTCAAATATGCATTTAAGTTAGTCGATTGATCTAAAATAAGTACTATTTTAGATGTAAAATTATTGGTACCTAAGATCTCATATATCATTCTTTTTAAAAAAAATCCATTTTTAATTTAAAACAATCGGATAGGCAATTGGAGTAACAAATTTTAATATGCTTTTGAATTTGGAACTACAAAGAACTATTTAATTTACAATCAAGCCCATTAGTTATACCATAGACAAGTGATGCGCATGTTTTTATTTATTTTTTAAATTCATCGTGTGTGGCCGCGGCGTAGTTTTATAAGTCCTAGTCGGGATGTTGGCCAACCGCAGCTTCATACTAAATTTATAACGACCGTGATAAAATGGTCCATACTGGGATTAGTATTAATGAAGCAAATTTAAAAGGCGCGGTGTAAAATGATAAGGAGTTTATAGTAGTTGTTAGACCATGGGATTTCTTATCGCGGTCAACGGTTCCCGCCTAAACTTGTGTAATGAGTTAATACTAAATTCAAGATGTGTTACCAGTTTGACGGGGTGTAATTTGAATATGTTGATGTAATAATAATCCACAAATATTTAATACCTTTTATTTTATTTGCATAAGAATGATCATTTGATTGAACAATGTGAATTACCTACATAAATTATTTAGTTTACACAATATCGAAATTATATATTAATTAAAAAAAAACATTGTATTACAGCTTCGCTGGACGAATCGAGCGGACGAAATTATATCTTAGTATGGAATACGTATTCTAGCCTGTAGATAAATAAATCAATGTGAAATAGCATCTTTGCACTATTATTAGAAGAGTTTGGGTATACGAGGGGAAAAGGCTTGGGTATAGGAGGGGCGAGATGGGAGGAGATGGCACTCTTTGGAGGCTACACGGCAGAAAGAGAGCCACGTAGTAACTTTGTCATTCTATGAAACGCATTTGACTCGCCTTACATTAAAAAAAATAGAGCAATGTTTTTATTATTTGAATACAAGAACATCCCTCGGGGTTCAAACAATGTACAGGAAACAGGTGTATATTGGTTGAGGGTCGATCTTTATCTTAATGTAATCAACTGACTGGTTTCATTTCATACTATTCTTGTGTAAATTTGTAGACCATGTTTATAATAATAAAACATAATGGATGAGATTGTTCGTAATGGAAACTTCCATCTAATTCCAGGGCCGTAAAGTATATATAATAATAAAAAAAAAGTAATCTAATTGCTAATAAAAATATAGGTATTGTTAGTAATATTTGACAGTACTTAGTAGAGTAGTACTTTTAATAGCCTCGGTGGTCTAGCGGTTTAGTAACCCGCTTTACTTCCGATCTTCGCGGGTTCGATTTCTCGCACAGCTCAAATATTTGTATACTAGTATGATTGTTTGTAAAATACATATTATGTAAGTATTTCCAAAAAAATATCTAATAATTAGTATTTATATCAGTTGTCAAGTACACATAACACAAGGTATTACTGTGGTACTAGATGGCGCTGTGTTTGTGTTCGTCCAGGGTTATTTATTTATTATTATTAATTTGGACAGATGCTCCCATTGTTAGATATGTACTATGTCAGGTTGACATCCACGCGGTTCACAGGAAACCATCGTGATAAATTGCCATTTACCTAGATGGGCTAACTGACCTGACCTCATCATA